GCAAGGAACGAGGGGGGAGCGGGGGCGGCGTGGAAACTGAGGCACGCAGGGATGGGGGAGGGGGGAAGTTGCGCAGTATCATAAGCGGTGTCAGAGCTGAGGGCACTGCCCGAAGGAGAGAATTACTTAAGCACCGAAATAATAAATTCCCACCCCAAATCCACGATCGAGCCAAGCGCAGGGCGTTGCCCAGCAGCCCGAAGCGGTAGCACCTGGGGGGAAGCGTCCTCACAGCCTCTGAGGCAGTGGAAACCTCTCCCACAGAGCTCCGCAGCCCCCGCGCCTCGTCCCGCACCTCCCGAGGCGGGAGAAGGGTTGGTCACCGCCGGTCTTGGAGACGAGGCCGCTTCGCTGGAGGCTTCTGTCCCCGTCCCGTTGCCCACTGACCCTCCAGGGCCCAGGCTGCGGGGCTCCGAGGAACCAAACAGAGAGTAGTTGCCTTTCTTCAACTCCTTGTTTAAGACTTTCCGGGAGAGGGGGGGTGAAAAAGGCAAGGCCCTGTTTGATCTTCAGCTGCTGCCACCGTAACACTCCTCAACTTTGAAGTGCTTCTCTGCTGCAAACACGACTCTTGTAACCCAGCCATCTCCACCTTTGATAACGCCACACAGCCGAGACTTTTTCTTTATAACACCCTTCGGGCCATTAACGCACCAGGAAAAATGCTTGAAGCGACACAGCTGCTTGAATCACCAAAGTTTTGAGGGGGCTCGCGGTGCTTTTTAGACTTGAAGGATCTGTCATGTTCTTATTTATAACGCAGCCTGATAACACTGACAAAGCTTTGTGTATTTCCCTCATCACTCTGTGGAGCCTGTTTGTTTGTTTGTTTTTTAAACCTCTGCACTGTGTTTGCTGTTTTCAATAATATTCAAATACCTACATGAAACAATTGCCTCCCCGCCTGCGCTCCCATGCACCTTTATAAGATGATGGCAAAGGAAAAAGCCGCTGTCTTATGCCCTCTTAAGTGCCATTATTCAGCGAATGGGAAATTATATTTCAAGTATTAACTAATATAAATAATAGATATAGATATACATCTATATATAAACATATAAACAAGTATTCTTCCCCTCCAACCAATCATTTGTCCCCGTGCAAAGAGATTACAAACACCAAATTACCAAAGGAGACGTGGGTAAGGAATTGTTTTCCCTACTCCCTTCCCAGGGATGGGAGGAGGACAGACACTGTCTCCCTTTTTCCCTGTGCAGCAGAGATCAGGTTTATAGTTCCTGCCCTGGCTTACTCACTTGTTCAAAGCAGTTTCTCTGCAAAAGAAAGTATCAGCAAAAGTCTTCCTTTAAAGAAGGGAGTTCCCTTAAAGTTTCCCTTTAACACAAAGAATAAAATAAATCTCATTATCGAGGTAGAAGTTTGTTTCTGTGAGATCTATTCTACAAAACTCTACAACCATGCAATCGTTTGTGCTCTAGCCTGCAGAAAATTCAGAGGATCTCCATCTTCCAGGAAAAAAAACTTGAAAAACACAAACCGCTTCAATTTCAGAATTCCAGCTTTCAACCTTCAAACCAAGAAGGCAACAGAAGCAAGTCAAAGACCTCAGTGCAAGGGAACTGGCACATGTTTCTCCTCCCAGCCCTGTTTTACCTCTTGGCTGGAAAACTTACCCTTGTGCAGGTGGCTGATCTCATGGGGTGTCCTGCCTGTCCCACAAAATCGCATTATTTTCTATCTTCAGAGAGACTAAAGCCAGACTACAGTTAAATACGGAAAATTCTCATTTAACGTCCTTTGCTAGAAGTCACAATCCAGAAAAACCTCCCACAAGGCCTTTATTTCAAGCCATTGAAAGTTCTGCATTTTCAATGACAATTATTAAAGAAGGAAATTCTCACTTATCAACATGACCATCAAAAAGCAGTATGTCAGAGACCAAGTCGTCTTGCCTTACTTTCCAATACTTTCTAATAGGAAATATAAACAAGCCACACAAATACTTTACACGCACAGTAAGATTTTTTTTTTTTTTTTACATTCATTTGGTCAATTTACAAACAGTCACTCTAGGCAGATAGTTAAAGACATCATACGACGACAGGAGTACAACCGCCATCTTATCCCTCAACTTTCTTATTAAAATGTAGAAATTCTCCTTGGTGCAATAAAAATATATATATGTATGTATATATATATATATATATACACTGTCCATTTTGTCTCTGGATTCCAAATATTAACAAAAACATTTTAAATGCATTGTTCTGGTTAGCATGAAATAACATTACAATTTATGAATAGTAACAGACAAATATCCCTCTTCTCTAGAAGGGCTGATAAAAATACAAGTCTACATCAAAAATAAAAATCAGTTGCTTTTAAGAACAAGGTATCTGTTAAAAAAAAAAAACACCTCAAAGTCACGCTGTTTCCATCAACACAGATGTCTTAAGATTTGTTCATTGTAGAGATTTAAAAGCAAATGGAAAGCCTTTTCCCAGTTCTGTGAATTTATTTTTTTAAAATGATTTAAAATTCATTCAAGTTCTGAAAACCAAGTTCATGCACAAAGGGTAAACAGCAGCTTTCAACTCCACAGAAAACAAAGCAGTGGAAAACATACTGGTTTTGAGACATTCAGAAAGCAACTCGGATGCTTAAAAAGACTTCTAAAACCAGAGCTAAATTAAGGTAACAAAAGGTGGCAGAAAAACTGTATTTACCTCAGTCTTCAGTGTGAAACAAGAAAATCAGACATGCATATCTTTACTTTTCCCATTACTAGATAGCCTGTGTACCTGCAGTTGTTGATCTGTGCCCACTTTCAACCAGACGCATTTTGCAGTTAAATATGCAGACTAGGAATTGTTTTTAAGGCCGTCAATTAATCGCTCTCTTCACTGGAGTCAAAAATGTCACTGAGTCGGAAAGCCTTCTTCTGTTGCTTGGCTGTGAAATTGTCAGAACTGAGCTGTTTCCCTTTCCTTTTTTCTAACTTTTCTTCAAGTTCTGGAAGTTTCTCTTCAAAAAGATAATCAACAATTTCTTTGAAAAAAGAAAAAAAAAAGTAGTCTTAATTGGATCTGTAGGGGAACTGGATGCCTAGGGGAAACAGGATCTCACAGACAGAAATGATTCTGTCAGCGTTAAATGTCAAAAATCTCACTATTCTGTAGTAATCACAGTGGCCGCAGGATAGATCAGTCACATACATACATGCAGAGATAAACTAAAAAAGCACAGTCATAAAACTTTTAAAGCCAAGGTATTAAAGAGAAGAGGTTGATAAGCACTGCATGAAGATGCCATTGAAAGTAAACTTATTAAAAAAAAAAAAAAAGCATTTAGTAAAAGAAGTATAAAGCCTGAGATTTTAGCCAGTTTACTTAGGGGAAAGCTAATTAAGAAAGAATTGAACTAGAATACATATCCTCTTAGATTCAAGCAAAAACCTTAACAAGTATACACAAACACCTGGGATACTGACCAGAAAAAGTCTTTTTTTGCCAAAAAGGGACACAGGTGACTTTTAGCTTATAAAATTTTGCTTGAACATAGGCTCTAGGGACATCTCTGCAAAGAGAAGAGTTCAAAGAATTAGTGGTGCAAGGAACTATTACAAAGTTTAGTTGTTACCGAGTTACCCATTCATGAGAGTGACGCCAGTCAAACAATATCTTAGCTTTCAGTAGAAAGGATGGATTTCAAATCCTAAGCAGAAGAGTTTTTCAAGACAGCAGTTCCTCTTGAAGGTAAGAACCTAAACCATGCCATTATACACGTGTATTATATGTTTAGTGAAAAGAAATAGTAAATGAAACAAAGTATGTGGAAAAAGAAAAAAAAAAAAAAAAGCACTGCGGAGAAAGTATAGCATTCACAGTATTGCTAATTTCATATTCAATGCTCAGTTTGTTTGAAAGAAGACTATTATATTGTGTTAAACATTCCTGTAACTATGCCTTTTCCTATGTGTTGATTAACACCTGGAAAAGTCTTTTATCAAAGACTTTAGCACAGACTACATAACACAGTTTTAGTACACAGAATGCACTGGGAATACAGTAAGGGTTGCCTGAAGTGGTTAAAATTAAGCTTCAGAGCTTACAGGCATGGTTTATTGCTCAGTACTATGCAAGGACATACAACTGTATGTTACCAAACTAAATGACATTTTCTGTAGTTGCAGAGGCCTACGAACTTCGATTCCTTTGTGGAATTTTTAAGACTGTCTGCTTCAACTATCCTTTGTATCCACAAAAAGAGGGAAAAAAAGCTTACCCAATAGCATTACTGAGTTCTTCCCAGTTTACTTCATTAGCATCCTCCGCTTTCATTTCATACAATCTGTGAATGTAATACAGAAGCAGTTTGTAGGCAGAATTCAAGAAATAATTCAACAATGCTCACAGCTCCCCCAGGCAGAAGTCCCAGGACATTTTGTCCAAAGAAAGAGGTGGCAAAACCTGTATGAAACCGCAGGCATGCCGTTCTCACCCTGCAAGCTTCTATAAACACAACGCAGAACGATAAGAGATGCAAAAACATTCCAGTAACTCTGAACGATACCTTTTAATAAGGTTGATCTTGGCCTGTAATCCTTTGGTCCCCCTATATAACTGCTGCCCTTTGGTCATCTTGCTTGTTAAAATTGTAGTCCTTTGAAAACACAAACAAAGGTTTCTATCATTTCAAGAAATTCCAAGCATCAAAAGGAAGTGTCTTCAAGATGCTACTGCTGCCACAGAGAAGCAGAAATCAGGCTTCACTGTCACAGCAAGAAGAAAACTTGCCACAGCTAGCAGAGTTATTTATTTGTCTCAGACACATTTGCAACACCTCTTGTCTAGTCTACAACCTATTTATTACCTATCTTACTAAACAGTTTTGCAGGACAGAGTTAAATACTCCCCAGAACACATTTTACTATCTCAATTTAGTATAAAAACTTACCATTTCTGTTTACATTGTCTCCAATATCGAGTTCCCACTTTAGCTTCAATCTCAGTCCATGGTAATTTCTGGTACAGTTTCTCACGGTCAATCAAGAGATCTCTATGTGACTTTTCCGACGATGAAAGAGAATTGGCATCTTCCATTTCCATTCTTTTCCTCATCACCTCCTCCACTGCATGCATTAACTTCTGGGTCTCTTCCTTTGACCAAGGACCGTAATTAATAGCTAAAATTGAAAAATAAGGTTAAGGCATCATTTATGATAAAAGTCTAGGAAAAAAAGGTAAAAGAGCAAATGCTTCACTTCGCATTATTCTTATTTACAGGACCAGCTTCTTAACACACTGCCCGGAAACTCTTCTGCATACCAGATTTGAGAGAGGAGTTCAGCCTAATCACTAAAGAATAGCCCTGATCCCTAATTTCTGTCTTTTAAAACTTGGTTGCCAAATTCCTCCCACCCTGCCCCTGAAAGCATCTATTTAGATGCCTATTCTATTTAATGAAGAGTTGCATTTGTTCCACTTCTTTTCCCTTTTCTGTCAGAGACTGTTCTTATCCCTTCCATATGAAAACACAATCAGTGATCTGGAAAAAAGAACCACCACCACAAATTAATTAAAAAAAAAAAAATCCACTCTAGGGATTTTTTCCTAAAGTTTAGGGCATGTGCAACATACAGTTAAAATAACTTCTCAAATTGAAATACACAGAATGAATTGTTTTCCTTAAAATTACATACCTGACTTGATTTCAGAGTATTTCATAGCAACTGAGAGATTAGAACGGGACATCATCTCAGAAATCTTCTTCCAATCATTGCCATGCAGAGCATGATACTTCTTTAACTTTTCTTTTTCTTCCTTAGTGTACCTAGTTGAGGAAATGGGCACAGCTTCAGCTGCAAATTCAAACCATTCCAATATCTTAAAAGAGCTGTAATCTTTACAGGTGTTTCGATGTTACTCATCACTACTACTTCAAGTCACATATTAGAACAGAGAACTTGATAAGGGCTAGTCAGAAAAATGAACTATCAATTAAATCACAGTAACTGGCACAAATGGGAGAGATAATCTTCATTTATATCTATTTTTAATGTACAAATAAACATCAGAGACTGATGATGAACATTCAGAAACTCTTTTCAAATTACTCGCTTACCTCCCTTTATAATTATTTGGGTCAAACATCTTCCTTGCTCGATAATATATCAGCCTCCAGGGTCGTGGTATGCCCTCAGCTAGAAGGTAAACGATTAATTTTTAAGCAACATTTCTCACACTGGTGAGGCCACTTCAAAAAAAAACAAAACAAACCCAAAACCGAACAACGTACATTTTCATGACCATGCTGCCAATGATAGATTCTCTCCATTCAAGAGAACGTACTCTACAACACTTCAGTAACTGCACAGCAAACAGCCTGAACAGAATCTCCTGAGGAGTTTGAAAGATGTAATTGTTACGACCGTGATAAGATTGTGAATGCTGACAGCTGGTAAATAATTGTGTATGTGTGTGCATACCTGTGGGTGAGTATCAAAAACTGAACTTTGGAACTCTCATGCACAAACTTGTTACTCACTAGCTACAAATTCTACGGACTGGCTGTAAATTTTTATAACGTATGGATCAAATGCAAGTCACATGCTGAACCCTCCCATTAACAGAGAGACAAGAGAGAGCCACCAATCAGGAGGCTGATGAGATATTGTGCTTCTGCATATACACTAGTTCGATGGGGAAACCCGGGGACTGGGGGCATCCAGCAAAAACAAAGTGAAGATCCTGGCTGAAGAAAAGATTCTTGAAGTGCGGGAAGATCCACAGCGACCAATACCTGGGAACACGTAACAGTCTTGGTCAGCAATGCCCGGGAGAGGGAACTGCAAGCAACTCGCCTAACACCAACAGGACTTCATGCCCAGTTTTCCCAGACCAGGAGCAATCTCCCAGATGGGAAGGGAAGTCAACACCAGGCAAACGTGATGATGCAGAGGGAATGACTGTGTGTGTGAAATGATCAAGGAGGAACAAATCTGTAGCCTCATTGATCCTTAAATAAATGCTAGTATCCAAATCCATTACAGGCTGTCATTTACTTTGTCTTGCCTATACTAACAGTACAGAACAAACACAGAACAGAAAGCCACTGAGAAAGTACACTGACTGGATTCATCAGAGATGTTACAAAACGAGCATGTTTGCCATATGAAGCGTGAATGTTTTCTAGCCAAGAAACGCCTAACAAAATGAGGAAAGAGGAAAAGAAGAGATGCTCCTCCCGCAAACAGAATCTTAACCATAAGAATTTTATTTTTCTCATGTCTTGGAAAATGAACTACTTTGGCTAGTGACCTAATTTCTTTCAGTTTCTGCCATCACTCAGTCCTGAACCTGCCACCTATTTATGTGCTCTAAGAACAGTTGACAATTTCAGACAGGACTTAATCACACCTCCCATTAATAAGTCACTACACTTAATTATAGCCTAGCAAATAACGCGCCTTAAGCCATAAAGCCCAAATGCAAGTTTGAAAGGCTGTAAGTGCTGCTAGTTGTGATGATATTTTAGTCCCTAAATTCTTCATACCCGAGAAAAGATCATAAGAACATTATACCGTACAGATTATCAACTACATACTGTCAGCAGCATGCTCCTTTTTGGCCAAATTTAGCAACATTAGTGCTTTTCAGTAAAAAATTATTTTAGAAAATACACCGTGATTCACCGGGTTGTGGAACGTAACATTCAGCTATTTGAGAAGGAGCTTAAATACTTACAAAGTTTTTCACAAAAAAGATGTTCTGCTTTTAGGCGATTGATAGTTTCTTTGTCTTCTGGATACCTCGAGGTAAACAGGAGTTTTTCAGCACTGTCTATTCCAGTAATCGATAAGAACTCTTCAACATTTTTCCGGATTTGATTATTTTCCTTCTGGGAAAATCTGCCAAACTTGACAGCAATACCTAAAATATACAGAAAGTTTTATTAAAAAAAAAAAAAAAAAAAAAGAAAAATTATAGCAAGCCTCAAGTACCATCTCTTGTACATTTCAGGTTTTAGCAAAGGTATAATGAAAGATCAACAAATTCAAAAGGCGAAAAAAGAAAACTGAAAAGAGACAAAACAAGAGCTGGGAACAGGTAATTCACACGTAGGCTTTGGACTGTAAATTAACAATGAGGAAGTAAATGCTGTGAAGCAGAGAAACAGAAAATATGTCCGTTGGAATGAAGTGAACCAGACTCCATGGGTGTGATAGACGTGATACAAAACCAAACAATTTTCTCTCTATTGAAACATTAGCACAGCTGCACAGTCCTTCCTCCTCACTGCAACAATATTTTGAGAGCTCACCTTGTTTTTTAAACTGCTTAAACCTCACTAAGTCTCTTCCAGCCATCTTCCTGATTGAACTGTCCGATATATTCCTCACATGAGGAATAAACTCTTCCAATTCTTGTTTTGCAGTATCCAAATCCATGACTGAACACATAGTAGAGTCCAGGCACTCTTCGTCATCCAGACTAAGCTCATCAGAGGCTGCCATTTCAGTAAAGGAACTATTCTGGTCCTCATTTCTGTTTGATGCCGAGGGTTCCGGTGTCCTGATGTAAAAAAAAGGAGTAAAATAAAATACACCACTAGAGCCCCAAAACAGAGATTTTGTTAGTATCTCTACCATTAAAAGAATGAACATGTTCATTAATTAAAGAACAAGGAATACTTCACACATCCACCCCCTTCTATTTCCAACCTTTTAACACAGATGTAATTTATTATCAAATTTCTATACTTACAATATTCAGAGAGCTTGCTGAAGGTTTGAAAATCTGCACCTTTCCCACAAAACTCTCACACATGGACATACAGAAGAAATAGTGTCTCTTGCTACCACTGGCAACACAGAACTTTTCCATGTGTCTCTTACTAGTGGTCTTATTATGGGTTCTAGACACTGTAAAAGCACCAAGAGCTATTTACGTGAGCATTTGTTTGCACAGAACATTAAATTCTTTAGTTGACCTTACTAGTTGCTTGGTAAAAAATGCATGTTCGCTATAAATACCGAAACTTAACAAATTAAATCCCTTTCTCCTCCCCCCCCCTTTTTTTTTACTAAATATTAATTGCTTGCACATAAATTATTTCTATACCTACAGTTTTTAAATAGGAGAAAATATTCTACTTCGAAGGCAACAGTAGTGTGGTCTTACAAATTTTCATTATACCTTCACAAGATAACTATGCTCTTAAAGTAAGTCTCTATAACATCTCAACATACTGTAAAGGTTTTTTAAGTTGTTTTTAAAAATACATACAAAACAGACTGAAAACTCTGGGACCCAAATAATGTGATAGAAACATATGGGGGCGGGGGATAAAAAAAAAAAACCACAAAACAAAATCCCAAACAAAACCTAAACTTACATTACATCAGATTCTGAAGAGCTTTCTTCCATGACAAAAGCGCTGCTTTTTTTTTCCTTTCTAGCATGCACTGGAGTTTTTCGAGGAGATTGATCAGCTGTTTTATTCAGCTTGGAAAAATTAGCAGGTACATCCATAGAATCTTCACTCACGGCAGGAGAAGCATCACAGTCGCCATCTTCATGCCATCGCTGGGGCGTTGCCACACCACCCTCTTCTGCAGGTGAGGGCAAGAATGTGTCTTCCTCTTGCCTGTTTTGCTCTGGAGATGACAACAGTGACTGGCCAACGGTTACATCTGCGTCTTCCTGCATATCTTGGGTACTACGGCCTCTTTTCTTCTTCTTTTTCTTTTTTGATCTTCTATTGTCATTTTTATCGTATGTTTCTGAGGTAGGCAGCTCGTGTACCTCATCCTCTTCAGACAATTTCTGTTTTCTTTTCTTCTTAACAGATTGTTTTAAATAAACGTAATCAGCATCGATCTCTTCACAACTACCACTGCCATGCTGATTTACTGTGACACAAGTTACATCGCTTTGCTCACCTGTACTATCGTTATACTTCCGCTTCCTTTTTTTCTTTTTCTTTTGGGAAGTATCCGCTCCAGTTTCATTACTAATTTCATGTTCCAGTCCTACACAAGAATTATCTACTGAAGACTGTTGCTTCTCCCCGTTGGTTTTGGGTTTTTTCTTCTTTTTACAGCCTTCACCACTCCGTGCTGCTCGATCTTCAAACAGCAGTGGAGAAGCAGGGCTAAGCTCTGCATTTTGTGTACTTTCTTTTTCATCGTTTTCATGTTTCTTATTGTATTCTTTGTGTTTTCTCTTCTTCTTTTTGAGAAAATCCCGAACTTGAAAATCATCTGCACTTGCTTTTTCTGTCATATTTTTTCTTACCTTAAATAAAAGATACAAGTTTTACTCAAGTGCTATAATCTATGTACCATTACACACTGCTACACAGTTAAAGAAAAAAAAAATTAAAAACCCATAAAAATACTATGGAACTACTCAATATTTTCTTAGAAACATATAATAAAGATACTTACTTTTCAATCCAGCTAATTTTGGAAACCGACTATGAAAAAGCGACACCTTCTTCATCAAACAGATGTGCATCACAGCTGTGTTCAGCCTTACAATTGCCTTCCTATAACAAAGATATACTTTAATAACTATTAGCTTTAAGTTGATTTTGAATAACTAAGCAATATATCCAATATATCTGCTATATCCAACTCTGCTTTCAGCACTGAAACAGCAACAAGCAAAAGTAATAAAGAAATATTGAACTAATGAGCACTAAAACCGAGTTCTCTAACTAGAAGGCTTCTGACTGGCTTTGGCCACGTTCAAGCAGGCCCAAGCTTGGCCGAGACCTGCCAGCTCCAACGGACTCCGTGACCAGAACAAATCTGCTCCTCAAAACCAGAGTTACACAGAGCAGGCAGAGTATTTTTTAACGCGTTTTCTACGGCCGGCACATAAAAAATACCTACAAAACAACATCTCATCATCTCTGAAACACAAGTCCTTGAATTTCACATCCCCAGCAGCGTTCCCAGCGCTGACCGGTACCAGACATTGCCGCCGGGAAGCGGCTGCCCTGAACCCCCGGGGGCAGACGCCAAAGCGCGCAGCGCCGCAC